ACTGGTGAGTCTGGCCATAGCCTGTAGGGTATTTGGAGCTCTGTCCAAGTCCCAAACTCCAATATCAGACCCTAGGGATGTGTCAAAGTAACAGAAGTACAAGTAGCTCTGTATTTTTTCAATAATGTGTATGCAAACTTTGAGGAACAGCTGAAAGCATTAAGAACGAAAAACAAAGCACAGATGGTTGGACTCAATGATCTAGGAGGCCTTTTCCAACCAAAATGATTCTATGAAATGGGGGAAGATGAAGTGGAGTGAAATGAATCCTCCTTTAGATTTCTGAGGGCAGAGAAAGCAGTGTTATATTTGAAATCGGGTGCAGAGAGAAAAAGAGAAGCACATAGGATTAGCTATAAATTTCACAGTTATTCTGAGCTGTTTGATCTATGGCTCCTCCCTCTGTCTTAAGAGGTTTAAGTAGTATTCTGAAAGACAGGGGGTGGGAAAGGAAGGTAGCTTAATGACCTAAGCCATAGGTTTGAAATACCTGGACCATCTATATCTGCACACTTATTAATCCCGATAAACCATTTGAGCTATTCTCCTGGTCTCAGGTTGAGTTTAGAGATTTTTCAGGAGCAAATTTTGGAAAAAAGATGCTGCTTATTGTGTATAGACTCTTGTTAGAGTCCTCCAAGTAAGACGATGAGGTCACTTACCAGAGGGTTTTGCAGGGACAGAAACTGTCCCTTTCCACATGCGTAGCCACCGTGTGTGGCAGGACATGGCTGACTATCCCCCTAGCATTGTCACTGCCAGGAAGTCAGTCAGGTAAGAGCTAGGCAGCCAAAACACCAAGTTCGGATCACTCTGGCGCAAGCTTGGATAACCATGCCATTTCATATCAGCTATATACTCATAGCTGACAAGTCAATTATTTTTAATCTCTATAGTTTGCAGTCATAAGAGTTTTTTAAGGATCTGTGAAGATTAGCAGTGCTATTCTGGGAATGGAAGGGTAATTCCCTCCTACAGATCCAGGGCTGGGGTATTAATGGCCGTCATGTAACATGACGGTCCCTCACAGTCCAGCTTTGCCCTCAGAGGACACACAACTCTGTCCTCACCCAATAACGGTGAACAGCCTCCGGCAACAGCATGTAGACTGACATTCCAAAGCAAAACCCTCTCATAAAATGATAAAATTAAATTCCTTTCTCCTCAGGAGATCCAATAACTAATGAAAAACTGAAATAGGCCCTGGACCCCAGGCAGGGGCAGTCAGAGCCAGTGGTGCCCTCAGAGCCCTGAGGACCAATTTCATATCACCAGTAAACTTTCCTGTCATTTTCAGAGCCTCCCTTTGTCTTTGTTGTGTGACTCAAACTGTTGCAGGTGGCTTAAAAAAATCACTCATCAGCGAGAGCAAAACAAGTTACAAAAGCACAGTATCAAAGGGCAAAAACACATGCATGACTCTAATGCTTCTAGTTCATCCAGTCAAGATGTTAAAAGAATAAAAAGAGGTCTATGTTTTTATTAGGCCTACTATAAGTCTATGTTTTTATTAGGCCTACTATGTGTAGAAGAAAGTCCAGAAGACTTTGGGGCATGTAAAAGAAGTTTTGAACCCATTTTTATTTTTATCTCTCCACCCCACTCCTCAGAACTGCATTGGAAGATCTCTGTCCCTCTATTTTACACCATACCCAGAGGGCCACTTGACCCCATCTGCCTCTGCCCATTCGGGCAGGGGACGGTGCAGGACTTCACCATCCCTAAAGATGCCCATGGGATCCCTGTGGGATGTGTTGCAGACAAGGAAAGGAGGGCCAGCACCACCCAGGCACTGATAAGAAGCCCGCACACAGAATAAATGTATCCATCATCCAAGTTTGTTCTTTTGTTCTGTATCCTAAGCTGCTGAACAAGCAGGTTTAGCTCTATTTAATAAAAATATTACAAATTTGCCCTTTGAGACAATAACAGGGTAAAGCATCAAAAGTAAACTATTTATATAATCCACCACTGGTAATCAGTTCTGCTTATTATGTTGTTGGGATTGTTTTTAAATTTTATTTTCTTACTATTTATTTTAGTATTTTTACAGTAGTCCTTTCCTTGTGAATTAATGACCTCCTAACGAGCAACAGATACTTTACTGTGCATGCTGCACAGTGATGTTTTACAGAGCCCAGAGATACATAAGGACCTACCCAGATACTTGTATTGTGAATGATTATAGAGCAGCAGATAGGTAAATCAGCACAGCAGTATTCTTTTAATAACATCATAACACATTTATTGCATTATTTGTTGTACTCACAGAACCACAGGGTGATCTTCATAGGTTACTTTTATGATTTTTTCATTATTTAATGTACTATTTTGAGATGTTACTGTAAAAAGTACAGTATTTATCTGAGAAAACTCTGTATACGTGCAACAAGATCGCTATCCTTTTGCATCACATAAATGTTTCCTTTTCTACCTACAGTGTATGTTTTTTAGTGTAGAAAGGAAAACCAATACATTTCTCATCAATGCTTTTATGCAGTGCTTCTGGTTCCACATCATGTAGACAATCATTCCTACCTTCTCAGTATTTCTATTCCTGGTGGACTGACTGCTGCTTAACACGTTGCCAGTGGTCTTTGCACAACTACAGAATGTGACTGGGGCTTTCTTGGCAACTACCGTTTCTCTCAGGTGTTTTTCAGAGGTGAGAGTTTTTTGACCTTGCCCTTCAGTCCCTTCTTGTTTGGGACAGGCCATATGATCCACCAGATCAGAATTACATACCCAAACACATTAAGCTGATTATTACATTGTCCAAATTTCTGATGTTTTGACAGGACAACAATAGTGACACCAAAATGTAGAAAGAAAGCAAACAAAATAATATTTTCAAAAAACCCAAGTGAAATGTAAGGGAGAAAGAACAAAATTAATCTAGTCTTGGACATTCAGCAATCCTAAAATTAATCTGTAGTTTCAATAAGCAGTATGAAATGCAATAAAAAAGCAGCAATGTGAAATGCATCTAACCATATTCTTAATAGATACATCAAATCAGATGATGGAAATGTAATCAGCAAACTACATTTTGTCCTCCAGCAAAATACTTTATGAGATCCTTCTTGAAATAAAAATTGAAATTCAGGCCAGTGTGCCAAAAAGAAGCATTAAGTTTGTGGTGCGTGACATGTCATGTTTGGTAAAGCATCTGCTTTTAATACTGGGCCTAATTTTGTTTGAAAATTACATGCAGTTACTGTCAAATTTCATTTAATCCCAAACAGTGGTTGAATGGTGTCTTTGCCTTTGCTGTGTTTGCTGTGATTGCAATTAGAGTAAAACCAGCAACCACAACAGAACCTGCAGAGAGTCTGTGAAGCAACAGTCAGTGTGCACAAGTTATGCACACAGCATTTCTGCATGTACACTGAATCCAGTGTGTTTGAATACATTAGATTTATCTCTGAGGTGCCACTCTGCCAACAGCCTTGCACAGAAATCAAAACAAGCACTACAAATTGCTGCTAGGAGCTCTGACGCAGATCAGCATCATGTGGTCAGAACTCTGAGGAATCTAAAAAGAGAATGAAGAAGAGAAAAAAGAGGATGGACCCCTATTTATAAAACATATTCAGCCTTTGAGAACTCACATTCACTAGGCAGATAGTATGGTGGGGACAGGTTTATGTTTGTTTTGGTTTGTTCTCAACTGAAGGTAGACAGCAGAGCTCTCAATCTCAGTATCTTTTAGTCCTTATAAATTCCTGCTTATTGACATTTTTTGCATGCTTTTGTGTTTCGTTCCTTGTCACTAGAATATACTGATAGTGCCTGGAGATCTTCAAAAGACATGTCAGATGTGGCACTTAGGGACACGGCTCAGTGGTGGATTTGGAAGTGCTGAGTTAACTGCTGGACCTGATGATCTTAAGGGTCTTTTCCAACCTCAGTGAGTCTAGGATTCTCATTATGGCAATGAGTCACACTGCAACCTTACAGGATTTCTCTTCCTTCAGTACAATACCGAGGATACAATAATGCCTGGTGATTGCAAAACGTCAACTGGCAAGATGTGTGTTATATATGACAATAAAAATAAGCAACATGCTAAACCTACTAGACACTCATCCAACCTTCTCTTTCCAGTCATAGGCCCTCTGAAACTGATTACCGTCTTTCCAAGGATTTCCAAGCAATTGGACTCTGACCAACATAAAGATCACAAGACTAAATTTGCCAGCTGTTAATTCCTTTATATGCACATGGAAAACAGCTGGAGCAAGTACTATCCAAATTCAGCAACTGTTTCTTCCATCCTAACCACTTTTTTACAGAAACAGAAGAACCTCACTATAGAGGCCTGTCCTTGACAGCTTCAGAGGAGTCAGAACTAAATCAATCTGAAATGCTCTTTCCCTATGAATATCCCCAATCCTCAATATTTAGAGCCTAGTTTATGCTTTGAAGGCTTTATATTCCATGCAAAATGTATTCATCTGAGAGACCTGATGTTTATATGGATAAACCCCAGTACATGGGGTTCATGCCAGATTATTATTATTACATGATCTCCCAGATGAATAACACCTGGGACAGCTCTGTTGTACTGGAAATCATACGTAGTTCTGCAGTATGGATGTAAACAACTCTGCTGTAGATACTTCATTAGTACCAAACCAGATATCCCAGACTCCCCTTTCTCCCATGTGGCAGTTTCCCACAAAACTGTTTTTTTATTTTCTTCTCAAAACCTGTCAATAACAATTGCTCAGAAGAGATTTACCCCTCGCCTACACTGCCCCCAGCTTTTAGGGGGGAACAAAACTGTCTTTGCTAGCACCTCTTCCTATAGGTCTTCCACTTGAGTGTATCCTTTTTCTTAATACCACAGGAGATTTCTATCTTAAGGTGCTTCATAAATCAATGTGTATTGTAGTGAATTTGATGACCTGTTTCTGCACAATCGCCAGAATGAACTGAAAACCAGCATTGTTAAATAGGTGTTTGGGTTTTTTTTTCTCTCTCTCTCTCTCTCTTAGGATGGATTTATAGACTTCTTGGAGTTCATAGCTGCAATAAATTTGGTTATACGAGGGAAAATTGACCAAAAATTGAAATGGTATTTCAAGCTATACGATGCTGATGGAAACGGATGTATTGACAAAAAAGAACTACTAAGCATATTCTCGGTAAGCAAGTTACAACCAATAGCAAGAACATTTGACATAGTGCATTGCCCCTGAAACAGTGGTTCCTCATGTCCTGTAAATGGATTGTCTGTACTTTACCTAATGTTTTACAGTTGTAAAACCAGAATTTACAGTGGCTAATGACACTCCTGCCATTAGTTTCTTCCCTATTGAGCACATCTAAATAGTATTTTACTTTAAGCAATAGTTCTACAGATAAAATACTTTACTGAAAGTGAAAAACTGTAGAAACACTAGAGGCATTACTGTGATTGATAAACTATACTATAAGGTAGGGTAGAACTGTAGCAGCATAATGAATAAAACAGATGGTTACAAGTATATGTGCCAGTCCGTTGTGGAAAACTGGCTTCTCAAACTGAGCTTGCTGCAAGAAAAATATAGATGTCATCAAAATATTGCAATATTTTAATTTTTTGAAAGGCCTTTAGTATTGTTTACTACAACTGCCATTACCCCATTTTAAAACTTAGTCAGGGAAATATAATTTTACTATTAAATCATATAGTGACAGTTGGATAAAAATATTGTCAAAATTTTGCAGAAAATGGGTCCACTTCAAACACACAAAAGCAAAGCAGTGCAATTCTTTCTTTAAAATTATTTCTGTATTTTTCACTTGCTCTAGTGAAATAATATTTTGAACTTCAGTAGCTGCTTTCATCCAAAAGGTATGTTAGGGTTCCTTGCAAATATGTATGGCTTAATCCTGCTCCCAAAATGTACAGGAGTCATTACAGATCAAAGTAACAACATAAGCAAGGAAAGTACTTTTCCTGGAATTACAATAAATGTCAGTAAAAAAGACCTTGTCCAAAAAGATATGTCATATCTGAGACATTAATTTAGAATCACAGAACTCCTATTAAAACTTTATCTATCTCTACAGCTATGCAAAATTTGGACCAACAAATCATTATCAAAACTCCTTCCAGATAATCATGCACCCTTTCAATGCCCAGTTATTTTATTTTACTATTTAAGGTGATTCTGCGGTAGACAGCGACTCAGATACTTCAGGAACCACTGCTTTACTCTTAGCACTACAATAAATTTAACTGTGGCAAAAGTACAACTTTATTCTGAAGCAAGGTCAGACATATAAAACACCAAAAGTATCAAAAGTATGAATTAGTAATACAAATAAGTTTATGTACCCATTTTCGCAAAAATTCTCATTTCCTTTTGAAATGGACAGGAATTTTGGGCACTTGGGGGGTTGGCATTTTTATGGTCTTATTTGGTGTATTAAGGTTACTGTTTTTAAAAAGCTGTAAAGTAAAATAAAGACAGTGACAGTCAAGGATTTCACATCAGTGCTGAATAGGTTTAACTTACATTTTATTTAAATATAATGAGTTCTACTATAATATCAGAAATACCAAAAGAAACAACTGGCACATACAGTGAATTTTCTTACACAACACAGTTCACCTCAAGATAATTCAAGTGTAGAAAAACAAATTCTACAGTATGTCCATTATAGAACATATATGCATGTTTATATATGCACATATTTTCCCAGTCAATTACTAATTGGGATATTGAGTTTGAATCTAGCTCTGTAAACACATCCTTGTTGCATCTGAACCACTGGATGTTAACGTGGAGGCTCCTATTTTATTAACCCAAATGATCACCACAGTGTAAAAATTACCGTCTCAGTGAATGGGATACAATTTTTCAAAAACATTCACTTATACCTTTACTCCAAACATTGAATCCTTTTCCTACAGAAAAACAAACAAAATAAAAAAAACACAAAACAAAACAAAAAAACCCAAACCAAAACAAAAAAAAACCAACAACAACCAAAAAACAAACTAGAGGGGATACTTTTGGTTTTCTTAACTTCTTTGGAGGTCAAGTACATTCTGCCAAATTCCAGGACTGCTGGTCTGACTTTGTTTGTGATTACTTAGTTAAACATGTCTTAATAGAAAAATGACTTAAGCTTTCTCTGCATGTGCTTTCAGCTGTGAAAAATAGTACTGTATTAAAATCACATAGACCATAGGGCACTCTCTGAAGACACAGAACTCTCTAGGGCCAGTTAAAAATGCTGGTGTGGAATCTAAAGTGTATTACAGAGCAGAGGTGCCACATGGTTCTTCAGACTTTCAGAGATATGTAAATTAGTCTGCAATCTTCAGGTTGTGTTATGTTAATTAAATTCCAATCCTCATTACTGAAGATTTACTTGAAATAGCTATTTATTTAGTGATTTTTGAAAGGGTCTGCAAACTAAAGAGTTGCATTGCAATTACTGGTGCTGCCAGTGTATTGTTTTTGCAACTTGATGGAAAAAACTCTGAAAGAATTTTCTGTGTTTCTGCCCTCAGGCTATCCAGGCTATAAATGGCTACACCAACATGAGTGCTGAAGAGTTCACAAACATGGTATTTCAGAAGATAGATGTGAACAATGATGGTAAGAATCTAGGTTTTGTTGGCACTGGCAGGGACTTTCCTCTGGAAGAGAGGGAGTTGCACACACTACTGAAGAACTGACTGTTTTAGATTAACTGAAAGCCAAAACTCTTTTTTACTCATATTATTTCAGCTTTACAGTGAAGTGTAAATCAATGACATAGGAATTACATGCAGTAGGTGCTAAAGCACAGAGGTCTTGCACTGTTCATCAAAAATGCTAGTTCTCCGGTTGCACAGCAAAATGAAAGTGTGATTGAGGGTTTTTTTAGTGTATTTGTGTTGGCTTAATCTATCTAAAATTGTTAAAAAAACCAAATAAGATGCATGGTTGTACATGCTCTAGCATGTTCTAAAGATTGGACAGCATATTGGATGTCCCTTGAAGGCTGACTGTAAACACATTCTAAAACACATGCTACTGTTTTTTTCCTCAAGATAGCTAGATTAAGCCAATTAGACTTGCATTCGTAAACTAAGACTTCAGTTCACTGCTTCAGAGTTGTTTCTAACAGAAAACTTCTCACATGTGAATATCTCCCCTCAAACTTCTAATCATGAAGATCCTCCTTCCACTGACAATTACATTTCACATCAATTGCTGCAATCATTGACAAATTAGGAATATTAGGAAAGCATTACAGAACAAAGTCAAGTCACAGACAGGAATTTTGGGCATTTTGGGGGGGGATTTTTTTTATGGTCTTATTTGGTGTATTAACATTATTTTTTTAAAAAGCTGTTTACAATATATAATCAGAGTATAAACAGTGATCTTGTGGCACATATGGAGGATGCACTAGTAGAGGATTTTTTCCCCCATCTCCTTGGCCCATTCTTTGGGTGAAGACAAATTACAAAAGGACTCCAAACAACACAGTCAGGATCTAGCACCTAAACCTAAATTCTACGATTATTCCCCAATTTGGCCAAATGTTTAATGCAAGTAACAATTGTATCTGAGCTAAAACATCAGCTGGAAAAATAATTTTGTGTCATACATTTTAGCAAGGAAAAGCCAGAACATGATTTATTTAGAATTATCTTCATAATAATTCTCTTTCAAACTGTTTTCCATAGTTTGTTAGTTTTTTAATTGTTGCAGAGCAACAGGACTAGCTCCACCTGAGGAACGGGCCGAGTTTTACCTAGTTTAGCTTCAACTATGCTGCCTCTCTGTAGCTTCTTATTAAAGAAATGTGCAAACAGACAAATAAGTTGCAAGGTTCTTCCTTACATGAAATAGCAATAAATAATCCCATGGTTGTAAAGAACAATTCTTAAAACAGACCTCCTGTTGGTTTTGCAATTTATTTTCATTAGCTCAAGGAAATCTGAGGCCCATCACGGCAGCAGCAGCAAGTCTGGGCCTGCCAGTGTAGCCACATCTCACTGGCAACTGCAGTGCTGTTTGTACTCTTGTGCACTGCTGTTGGGGCTTGGAAATGTGCAGCCTGGGAACAGAAGGAAGGAATTCAAGACCAGTTGACCTGAATAAACAAGAAAATGATGCCACATGTCCACGTGATGAGTCCAGGAACCCCATCCACCCAAAGACCTCAGTCAGAGGCAATACAGAGGGAAGGGGAGGGGAATGGAAAGGAATGCCTGAGATAGGAGGAGAGTTCAGCGGAAGTGAGAGGACGAGTGGCAAAGCAGGGGATGCATACAAGCACACAGAGATGGCTTGTTCTGTCTCTGCTTCTAGGATGATTATATAAGGGGACTTCTATTGAAAGAAGCAGCACAAACAATCTCAGGGCACTGCATGCCAGCTCCTGGACAGGGTCTTAGTACTTTCACTAAAGCCTAAGAGCCAGGACTTCTGTCAAATTATGTCCTCACTCTTTATATGAGCCTGTCACCGGTGTAGCAAGGACAGGCGACTAAACAGAAAGCAGCCTTTACTGACTATGGGTAGAAAGTGGTTTTCACATTTTTCAAATGCTGGTCGCTTTCCTTTTTCACATCAAATGAAGTTTCCAAGGCTGCCATGGACAAAAACAAAACCACTAAAGAAAATCCCTACAGGTAATACTTAAACCTGAAAAGAGCCAAAAGTCAGCTAGCTAAGCATTCACCAGACATGTACACGACCTGAATTCCTGCTCCCCTGCACCCTGGGGCCTTAACTCATCCGGCTATTTTCCTTTGCTGGCCTTTTGTCATTTTTTATTTTAGTGAGAAATCATTCATTGTTGTGAATTTCACAAGAAACTTTAAATCATTCTCAGAGGAAAGAATCAAGCTTTTCTTATTAAACCAGGCTTTGTTTTTCCTTCTCAAAGTAAAACAGTATTCCGATTTTTCAGTAGAAGAGATTTTAAAGTTGTCTTGCACCTTCTAAGTCATTAGGTGATTTTGACATGAGCCCAAAAAATCACACTCTAAATGACCATTTCAGTTCCCTGGAAGAATTTATCCAATCAAACCACTTAGCCAGGTTTTTTTAGCACATCCCATCATGGCTCTAAATAATCCTAGTAGTCAACACAGGTACTATGCCTAGTAATCCTCGGCAAATCACACTCTAATCTCTGTTAAAACCAGCTATAGGATAAATTCCAGTTAGCTCACTGAGAATTGGTCCATAAATCTAAATTCAGCCTTGATACAGGCTTCATTAGTGCCCTGTTACACACATTTATGAGCACTTACAATCGTCTCAGACTTCAGTGAAAGTGGTGTTTGACCTGTTTTAACATAAAAAAAGTGAGTTTGAGTTCTGGGATCTGACTGATGCAAAGTAGGAAAACATTATCAAATGCTCTACCTGCATTTGCCTATCAGCAGAGAACAGAAACCTTCCTAAGGGATTCAGTCTGGCATGAATGGTCTTGTGTTGGATGGAGAATGATTGCTGGGTTTCTCAGTTCCTAAGGAGTATTTTACTTTCTTTTAGGGGAACTGACTTTGGAAGAGTTTATCAACGGTGTGGAAAAAGATGAGGACCTAATGGAATTGATTTCGAAAAGTTTTGACCTTTCCAACGTACTCAAAGTCATACAGAACGGCAGGAGGAACAGCGTCTGAAGGATCCAGTGACAGACGTGGCCTTTGTGTCATCATTTCAAGGAAGATAATATTTGATATATTCAGAGAGCTTGATGTTGTTAAATCCTGCTCGGGCAATAGCGAGCAGCCTGCTCCAGGAGTAACAATTTTCACTCTTCATATATCTCCTTTTCTTTTCTTTATTCTTTTCCTTGCTCATGACTGTGGCAGCCACAGGAAAAAAAAACAACTTCGGCTGCCTATAATAGAAAAGGTATTTGATGCAGTAAAAGTAACTTACTTGGTCTCTATGAGCATGTTGTGGTTAAACCCCAGACAGCAAGTAAGCACCACCCAGCTGCTGGCTCACTGCACTCCGGTGGGATGGGGAAGAGTGAAAGTGCAAAAACTTGTGGGCTGAGATAAAGACAATTTAAAAGGTGAAGAAAAAGCTGTGCACTCAAGCAAAGCAGAACAAGGACTTCATTCACCTCTCCCCATGGGCAGGCAAGTGTTCAGCCAACTCCAGGAAAGCATGGATCCATCAAGAATAATGGTGAATTGGGAAGACAAATGCCATCACTCTGAACACTCCCTCCCTTGCTTCTTCTTCCCCAGCTGTAAATGCTGAGCATGACATCATATGGTGTGGGATATCCCTGTGGTCAGCTGGGGTCAGCTGTCCCAGCTGTGTCCCCTCCCAGCTTCTTGTGCACCCCCAGCCTTCTCACTGGTGGGGTGAGAGGCAGAAAAAGACTTGATGCTATGCAAGCACTTCTCAGCAGTAATGAAAACATCTTTGTGTTATCAATGTTGTTTTGGTCACAAATCCAAAACACAGCCTCATACCAGCTACTATGAAGAAAATTACCTCTATCCAAGCTGAAACCAGCACATTCTCTTCTGGTCAGATTAATCAATAAAATAATGAAAATAACGCAAAATGCAACCTTTCTAGATGACACAGAGTTAATAAATTTCTTCTTTTAATTCTGGGGTTTTTAACCCTACTACGTAAAGGGTGGACACAAACTTCTAGGTAGGACTGGGTTCTATCCAGGTCAATTAAGAGCAAAGCCTACTTTGTATTACCTAACATTTGCTCTAATCAGTACTCAAAATTGGATTACAGTCTCCGGGAAACACCTCAGTCAGCTTAATATTCCCAAGATGTGTATCATCCTTAACAAGCCTTCTACAACTCTTGATTTTATTACATCCATAAATTAAAATAATTTGATATTTTGTTGTTTCTTTCAGGGTTCAGTTACTGTTCTTTCAAGTTAACCTTGTACAAAAGTGCTGGGATTAAATTTTTTATCTTTCTAGAGCAAAATTAGAAGTTCAAAGAATAGCTAAAACCTAAATCATTTTGCAAGCACTCCAAGAGATTTGTGTCCTTTGACTTGTATTTGCTCCTTTGAAAAACAATTTGTTTTCACTGGGCTCTCCCCTGACTATGACACTGCTGGCTTCTCCAAAACAGACAGCCTTTCCCTGACAGGGAGTACTAATTTAGGTATCTTTGTCCTGCCCAGATACCTGGGTGAAAGCTTTTAGCAATTGAGTTTCTTTCAGACTTTTACCTCCTTTCAAACTGGGTTGCAATTGTCTCTGAAGGTGGTAGCTGTCAGGAGTGAAGGGAAGGCATTTGCAGATGGTATGATCACATATTCCTCATTTTTTTAGGAAACCAGGCTCAAAACAACACAACTTTACTTTATAAATAATAAGATTAATTCTATGAGCTGAGATGGAATGGCATGAAATATCTGCAAAGGGAAAACTATAGTTCTTTCTGGTTCTATTGGGATTGATTCTCAAGTCTGTAACAAGTTTTATCAAATTACTATATTATAAGACTAAGTTCTCCTTGGCTGACAGTGCCCTGTAGGCATCACACTAATACTAGTTATTGTTAGAAGCATCAGTTTTATACAAAGTAATTTGTGCAAGGATTGGTGCAAATTGAACAAAACAATTTTTAAGACTTCAATACAAAAATGTTTTTCTTCCAAATTCACTTCAAATCCATGTCCACTGCAAATGAAATGTACTCCATCATCTACCATTATTATCCCAGGTTCTGGGTATAGTAAGAGCATGCAACATACATCACTTGACATTATAAACAGTCCTGACATTATAGTTCTGACATTTGAATCTTTTATATCCTTAAAAAAAAAAAAAAGAGAGAGAGAGTGATGTATGAGATTGCTGGTGGTTTGAATATTAAGTTCTTGTATTTATTCATCATTGACACATTAATATGTCACTGTCAGTATCAGTTTTCTCACACCCAGACTTCACATTAGACTTTGTGAATCTCATGCTTTTCTAATTAAAGCCGATGAGGGTGGTGTCCTTCAGAATTGCCTTTACAATATGTAAAATAAAATGGTCTAGTCTAAGCAGCTTGGGCAGCTGTGTTTTAGACTTTTGGTTTTAAACTAATGAAGTGATGGACTTGGAAAAATGACTACTATCTACGTACACTGACTTTTTTTTATAGGGGATTTTAAAAAAAGTATTTTCATTTAAATTTGCCTAATTTTTCTGTGTAACTGTAATTATATGAAGTGAATTACCAATTCAAGGAGAGTGTTGTGTTGCATTAAAAAATGATGAATATAAGGAAATTCTTTGCCATATTTTGTTAAACTAAATTTTAAAGGTGTAGATGACATGCTCATTTTCTACACTTTAATCTAAAAATCATTTAGCAGAAGCCTGTGTAATTAAGAAGCAAGTATCTTTGCAGTTTAATGTAAACACTGTGGCACATCATTTCAAAAATTATTTACCTACAGTAATTCTGCATGTTTGGGACTATGCATGAGTCTATCTAATTTATAATTTTTTTTTAAGTTCATCTCCTTTTACTACTTAAGCACAATTTGATAAACAGCTGCTTGAGATAAATGCATCATGGCCACAATTTCTATTGGTCTTATTCCTATAAACTTGTCATCTGCTCATCAAGTGTATCAGTGGAATGAGGTGGCACACAGAAAACCTGTCAAGTGTGAAGCTGCAACTCATCTTTCTGGACCTGCTTTGTAGTCACGAGGGTAAGCTGTAAGTTGACCTGACCATCAGAATGTCTATTACTAGTTTAATAGACAGCAGAAAAAAGAAACCCAGTGTTGGATCATGTTATGTACACACCTTAGCAAATACTTATGTGGTTTAGGGCAGTGCTGAGCTGTTGATCCTGAGGACTGCTAGAGCCCACAGGAGTGATTTTGCGCAGAAGCCCCACATGGGAGAAAAAAGACATTATAGCAGATGCTCTCAAGAAGTGTCTTTGTCAGCAAGATTGATGCAGACAGCAGCTGTGAGTGTCTGGAGAAGCTGGACTGCCTGCATCATCATCACAGGGGGGTAGGCTTTAATTAAGATGGATGTGCACCGAGAATAGCTAATCATTTTGTCACCATACTCACCTTGGAAAGAATTACAGGTTTTAAATTCACTCTGTGTAGCTGGGTGAGCTTTGCCAATCCACAGGGTAATTGATAGTTTCTTTTCTAATACAAGCTGTTTTAATGTTAATAAATCCTTATGACTTACATTTTATTGCATCCAAACAGCTAGCGGTAATTAGCCTGACAGTCCCCTTTTTCAAACAATTCCTAATTATCCTAAAATTATCTCCTTTTCTAGTGGCGAAGTATGCTAAGAGAATAAATAGGTACTTTTTTTTTCCTGAGAATATGGGAATTCAAAGCCACAAGCAAACTGCCTTTGCTAGTAGATATGAAATTAGCATTAACAGGCAGGATTAAACCTTACGCTATAGTCATGCATCCATGACAAAATGGGATGATAGCTTGCTGTGATGTGGAAGAGATCTCATAGTTGCATTTAATTTTTGCTCTTATGTAAGATTAGCTGTACCATACAGACCATAAAAGCTAAAAACTCAGCTAAACACCCAAAGCTGGAGTTCCCTGCGTGCAAGGACATATGTCCATTTACTTGGAGAGATTTCTAGAAGCCTTGCACAATTATAGAACCTGCTGAAGATATCAGGGAGAGGTTTTTAAATGCTGTTTTGAAAACTGCTGCTAAATACAGTAGAATATTAAAAAAAAAATTAGGAAATGTATGTAGTTTTACACTGTATTTTTTGACCTGCCCTTATTATATATCTGACATAAAAAACCCCCCTAAGTAATGGTCACTCACCAAGGCAAACAGCTCCAGTGCAGGCACATCGCACAGCGGAGCAGGGAATCACTGCAAGCAGGGGGAATTTCTAGAGCCAGGGAAACTGTAGGAGATGGCCAAGAGCCATGTGGAGCCGGCAGCTTTTGCCCTGGAGCAACTCCCTCAGCATGGGCTGAGTCAGCTGTTCCCACTCTCTCATAAGGGGCCCGTAGGGAATGCGGTGAACAGAGTGGCAACAGGGTGTAATGTGGGGGTTCACACAGGCAGGGCGAGCAAGAAGGGCTCCCCTCCAACCATCTGGGAGCAGCCAACAGAGGCAGTGAACAGACCCAGTAGTTGGTGAAGAAGGGCATAAAGAGATCTTTTTATCCCCAATCTTAGTAGTGCACACTCCCTCAGGTATGGTTCTGACACACTGCAGAGCTCATTCCCCTGTAGCTGCTGGAGTCCCTGTACCAGCCATGTCAGAGGCCTCCAACCAGCCAGACCTCCTGATGGTACATGTAGCTCTCCAGGTCTCTCCCTCGAAGGCAAAAAGCCTTGCAGAGAGACCTCGACAAATTAGAGGGCTGGGCAATCACCAACTGTATGAAGTTTAACAAATGCAAATGCCAGATTCTGCATGGGATGGGCCAAACCTGGATGTACGTACAGACTGGGGAATGAGATGCTGGAAAGCAGTGCCACGGAAAGGGACCTGGGAGTCCTGGTCTAGGGCAAATTGAATATGAGCCAGCAGTGCCCTGGCAGCCAGGAGGGCCAACCATGTCATGGGAGGCATCAGGCAAAGCATCACCAGCCGGGCAAGGAGGGGATTGTCCTGCTCTGCTCTGCACTGGGGTGGCATCACCTTGAATATTTTGTGCAGTTTTGGGCACCACAATATAAGAAACCTATAAAGCTATTAGAAAGCGCCCAAAGTAGGGCAATGATGATGGTGAAGGGCCTTGAGGGGAAGTCATATGAGGAGCAGATGAGGTCATTTGGTCTGTTCAGCCTGGAGGAGACTGAAGGGAGACCTCACTGCAGTTACAACTTCCCCATGAGGGGAAGCAGAGAGGCAGGAACCAATCTCTTTTCTCTGGTGACCAGGGATAGAACCTGAGGAAATGACATGAAGCTGTGTGAGAGGAGATTTAGGCTGGATATTAGGAAAAGTTTTTTCATCCAGAGGGTGGTTGGGCACTGGAACAGGCTCCCCAGGGAAGTGGTCACAGCACTAAGCCTGACAGAGTTCAAGAAGAGTTTGGACAATGCTCTCAGGCCCATGGTGTGATTCTTGGGACTGTCCTGTGCAGGGCCAGCAGTTGAACTTCAATGGAACTACATTTATCGTGTTAGATTACATGGATCAAATTGAAAAGTGCCATCTTCTGCTTAGACCTGCACTGATTTTTGCCTTACATCAGCCATGTGAGAGAAGATTCAGCCATCAAAGATAACTTGGACAGAAATTCTAAAAGTGTTCCTGTATCACTACTTAATTTTTATTTACTCCTCCTCTGCAGTAGAATCACAGAAGGGTTTGGGTTGAAAGGGACCTTAAAGATCACCTAGTTCCAAACCCCCTGCCATGGGCAGGGAACTTTCCACTACACCAGATTACTCAGAGGCTCATCTAGCCTGGTCTTGAACACCTCCAGGGATGGGGAATCCACAACCTGTAAGAAAATTTAAGACAGCTTGCTAGGCAGTTTTTACTGTGCTTGCAAACAACACTGCAATGAACGCTAGCTTTTAAATTGCTAAACCATCAAATGATACTGGTCCAGTTTGAAAGTGAGGCCTGAATTTTTTTGTCTCATTTAAAGCTGCATTGTTTACAAAAACCATAGATTAACTCATGTCCCATGCAAAATACTGGAGAGGCTGGGAGGAAGGACTGGACAGAGTCACATAACAACCAAAAAGACCACAGGAAAGAAGAAGCAGGGGGAGAAACCTTAAAAGGGAGAGGAGGTAGCAAAGATCAAGCCTCATGAAAGGGATATCATGGTGTGACAATCTCTGTCCCTCAGGGACATGTCTAAAAGTCAAAGTCTGAATGTCAGAATATGGAAAAGAGGAAAAGAAGAGGCAAAGGCTATGGAGAGGTATGTTCATGTTGTGACTGTTCTGTACCTCAGACAGTACTTGACAACTCAGTTGCTTCTACTAGTGTGCAACAAAACCTTATGCAGAAAGTATATAGTATTTAATCTGAGGGTCTGTCTGAGATTTGGCCTTCCTTGATGCCCTAATGGAATTGCAAAACTTTTCCAACAACGCACTGTTGAAGGTAGTGCCCAAAGTGGTCAGACGCACTTATCACCTCTTGTGCAAAGGTACAAACCAAAATTGTCTTCTGAAATTGTGTAGCACTCAGAAACAATCAGATTAACAATGTTACAAATAAAGAATCTGAAATAGTGATAATCTGGCCAGAAGTTTCTTCTACCTGAGGAGAGGCACTGGTGGTATTGCACCTGATCTCTCAAATAGCAAGGGAACTAACCACTCAAGATGTCTTTTGTTTATTCACTGAGAATGTTCAACTATTCAGAAAAATAAAAGCACCTTTGATTGTTTCTGTCTTATTTTCATTATCCATGCAAGTTAGCAAGGTAGAAATGGGTGCATCGGCATGCAGAATTTTCCATGCTGTGGAAAAACTGTTTATTTAGGAAACACAGTACATCAATTGCTCAGACTCTATTGAGAATTGCCATTCAGAGAACACTTAGTGACTTGTGAGGAAGAATTTAAAGAGAAAATGGTTAGTATTTTATTCTCCTATCCCATGAGCCATCTAGTCTTCTGGCATTTTGAATATACATAGCAATTACAGATTTTTTAGATTCCACCTTTCCTGGAAAACTCAAAGTACACTCAGAATGATAAATGAATATGAATTTACAATCCATTTGTGGTCCCATATAAGTCAATGATCCCATTGATTGCAAACCAGAACAGAATTTCTTCACACTGACATCTAAAGAACATATCAAATTCTTGATTTATTCAGACTCTTATTAACCTTTTATGTAGAGCAGCATTTCTGTGGGCTATTGCAGAAGGATGTAGGGAAGGAATGAAATAAGTATTTTGAAAACGCTTTTTTTAAAAAAGTGATGTATTAGAATCATGATCATTTCCCTTTTAAAAACCAATGAAATATTCATGGAAAGGGTTGACACAGTTTTGAGTGTATCAAAAGAAACTAAACTCCCATCAGGCTTCAGGCAGAGCTTTTCATTCTTACTATCCGTTCACGTGTTCCTTCCATCCCTGTCCCCAAAGCAATAAAAATTATGTGGGTTTTTTTTTTTTACACTGGCAGCATACCTCCGGCACATAGCTTTAATGGTTCTGGACAATATTGGAAGAGTTTGCACTTTTTCTTCTCTTTTTATTTAAATTACAAATATTTGACAAACTGCTTCTATCCTGGAGGATTTCAAATCCCCTCAG